TGTGTGTGTGTGTGTGTGTTTGTGTGTGTGTGTGTGTGTGTGTGTGTGTGTGTGTGTGTGTGTGTGCAGGATTGCTCATTATACATGCACACACACGCGCCTCAGGAGACGCTGCTGACCTGTGTGTGTGTGTGTGTGTTTCCCGAGCAGAGCCCGGAGTAGCGCGAGCGCTGACGTTCCTCCAGAGGCCTCAGAAGGTCACGGCTCTACAGGGCAGAGATGCGGTTCTAGAATGTTCTGCCTCCGGCTATCCCACCCCATCCTTCTACTGGATGAGAGGAGACGAGCTGATCCAGAGCAGGTGAGGAGAAACACTCCGCTGACACAGCATCATAAACGGCTGCTAAATTCAGTTATATCTACACTGCCTTTTAACACTCTGGGGTCGGTAGGACTTTTTAATGTTTAAAAGTCAGAAAAGTCTCATCTGCTCATCAAGGCTGCATTTATTTGATGGAAAACACATTAAAAGAAGCGACTCTCTTCAGCTGTGGTTTTCTCTTCTTCGTCTGATGGTGTCTCTTGTGTCTGCTTCTCCGTCAGATCAAAGAAATACTCTCTCCTGAGCGCCAGCAACCTTCTGATCAGCAGCGTCACAGACGACGACTCGGGAACGTACAGCTGCGTCGCTCACAACAAACAGCAGAACATCTCCGCGTCCTGCCAGCTCTCCGTGCTCGGTGAGTTTATTCCTCAGCTCGTCACAAAACACTGACTCATTACATTCTGGCTTCATTCACTCACTTCACTGAAAATCGTACAAATCTCACTCACACTTCATCATTAGATGCTCACGTATTTAACAAGTTTATGATCGTGATGCAACTGAAAGAGAGTGTGACATCTGACTGAGGTGAGAGGTTTTCTGCTCAGCAAGGCTGCACTTATTTAATCAAGAATACTGTAAAAATTGCTAAATATTATCACAATCTAAATACAACTTAAAAGTTATTAAAACAACCAGCAATTAAAATAGTTTTATCATTTTTATGTAACCCATTAAATTCATATTAAATTACATCCTCTTTTTGTAAGTCGTTTGGATAAAAAGCATCTGCTAAATGCATAAATGTAAAACGTAAATTCGTTGTGTTCTGTTCATAGTATTTCGAATAACACATTTTATTTAGTTGTCATACATTTTAGTATTCAATGATTTTTCCCCCATCACAAAAAAATGTGATTTTATTTTTTGCAACCTTATGCTTGAATTAAATAATAATTTAATTCAGTTTTAAAATGATAAAAAATATAAAATGAAATATTTTAATTAAATATTTATTTAATATTATTAGATTAAACATATATTTTTGAAACGCATGCAGTATTCATGAGGCCCCCACAAACCCCATCATCACGCTCTGTTCAGACGCTCTGGATGGACACTAGTTAGTGCCCTCGAGCGGAGAGCTTTCTGTGTGGCTGAGAGAACAGATGGAGTGTAGGAAACAGAAACATACAGCAATTATCTCACACGACACCTGCGAATCCTTTAATTAAACCTAAGTTTTGTGGTCAAAAACTTCCCAGCACTTTTAATTGGTTCCTCGACGTTATAGCATCCTCCACCGCGCTTGAAGTGAAATATTCAGTGCGTGTGTTTTGGTATTTTAGCTCTCCAGACGTCTGTTCTCCTGAGAAGACGTTCAGTGAGACGCTGAATAAAAATATCAGCGTTTATTGAGAGTAATGATGCGTTAACGGCACATTTCGTTAGACGTCCTCTCTTTACGTCTGTTTTCTCATCCGGACGAATGTTACGCAATCAGATGCATCGAACGCTCAGGCCAAACACAGCGCACATTTATCAGGAATCTTTAAATCTGGTGTCTGATTAAAATGCATGAGTGTGACAAGCGCTGGCTGGCGGAGATCATTTTTTAATCATGAGTTTGTTGCTGCTTTTGCACAGATATGCACAGGTTTGCATGGATAGAATGCTGAAGAGGATGGAAAACGAAGATTTCTGATTGCACAGCTTTCATTTGGCGAGCATTTATTGTTTTCAGCGTCTGTGATCATGTGAAACAAACCTGAAGCCTTCAACGCTGAAACTTTACAAACAGCATCAATTCTGCATCTGTTGCCTCTTAAAGGTACAGTTTATCATTTACTTGCGCGCGTCATGTTTTTTTTAAACCTGTATGACTTTATTTCGTCTGTGAATGTAAGACCCCTCCTGCAATGACTCTCCAAGCCACTAGGGAGCGCTGTCTGCTCCCTCATGCAATGACTCTCCCAGCCATTGGTGGGCACCCCCTGCACTTTACTGTGTGAACTTTCTGAGCCACTAGGCGGCACCACCTGCTGTGAACTCTTTAGTTAAGACTGCTCATCATGTTAATTTGTTCTACCTGTGTTTTGTCCTATTTAAGTTTGGCAGTTTCATTGAGCTATGTTCAGTCTTGAGCCTACCCAGTACGGATTACCTGAGTTCTAGAACAGTTAGGTGATGTTTTCCTGTTGCCATTTGGCCTACATTGTTTTGTTTTGTAACGCTATAACTGATCTTTTGTTTGTATTTGAATACTGAGATCAAGTAAAGACTGCCTGCTTTTGAGTTATCTGAGCCTCCGAGTTTGCCTTCTGCACATGGGTCTACTAAAAAACTGTCTTCCCCAGTAGACCAGAGGTAGAGAACTAGCTTTCACTGACTGGGAGACCTGGGTTCAAGACCCACCTCAGACACCTTATGTCAGTCCATTGTGACAGCACCCTGGCACTTGTCCACCTCGAGGGAGACTATTCTCTCTGTCTGCCCCAGAAAGAGCCTCTATGGAGGAATATATCAACAAGTCTGTTGACAGTGGATTCATCCACCCTTCAACCTCACCGGCAGGAGCTGGGTTTTTCTTTGTGGGGAAAAATGATGGCAATCTCCGACCATGTATTGACTACCAGGGTCTAAATGGTATCACTGTAAAAAATCGTTACCCGCTGCCATTGATGACTTCAGCCTTTGAACTCCTACAAGGTGCAACTATATTCACCAAACTGGATCTTAGGAATGCCTACCACCTGGTTAGGATCCATGCCGGGGATGAGTGGAAGACTGCATTCAACACCCCAACTGGCCATTATGAGTATCAGGTAATGCCCTTTGGGCTAGTCAATGCCCCAGCCGTCTTCCAGGCATTCATTAATGATGTTCTACGAGAGATGCTTAACCAGTTTGTATCTGTTGATCCTGATGGCATCTTAATCTTCTCCCGTTGTTACCAAGATTATGTCCAGCATGTCCGCCAGGTTTTGTCTCAACTGTTAAGGAACAATCTCTTTGTGAAGCTGGAGAAAAGTGAGTTTCATGTACCAACTGTCTCCTTCCTTAAGTTCATTGTCTCCAACGGCAGCATTCAGATGGATCCTGGCAAAACCCATGCAGTTCTGAACTGGCCTCAGCCTTGCTCTGTCAAACAGGTACAGCGCTTTCTTGGTTTTGCACATTTTTATAGGAGATTTATAAGAAATTTCAGCTCTATTGCAGAACCCCTTACAGTCCTTACCAAAAAGACCTAATGGCCATTCCAATGGACAGAAAGGGCTAATCAAGCATTTGAGCTGCTCAAGCGCCAATTCACCACCACTGCACCCATCCTGACCCTCCTCGATCCAGAGTTGCCTTTTGTAGTAGAAGTGGATGCGTCACATTTTGGAGTGGGAGCTGTATTGTCTCAAAAGGCCAAGAGGGACAATAAGCTTCGTCCTTGTGCTTTTTTTTTCACGTCGACTCACCCAAGCAGAAAAGAACTATGATATTGGTAACCGGGAGTTGCTGGCGGTGAAGCTGGCACTGCAGGAATGGAGACACTGGCTAGAAGGGGCCAAACACCCATTTGTCATTTGGACAGACCACAGGAACCTCACATACATCTGGGAGGCTAAAAGGCTGAATCCACGCCAGGCCCAATGGGCTCTCTTTTTTAACTGCTTTGAGTTCATTCTCTCTTATCGACCAGGCTCTAAGAACTCAAAGCCCGATGCCCTTTTCGAGACAGTTTGACACGCCAGATGTGGAGGACAGACCTGAGCCCATCATTCCCAGCTCCAAGGTGGTGGCAGGGCTTCAGTGGGGAATAGAAATGGTAATAATGAAGGCTCAACGACAACAGCCCGACTCAGGTAATGGCCCCCCAGGCCGCCTTTTTGTTCCTAATGTTGTACGATCTGATGTGTTGCAGTGGGGACATGCAACTCTTCTTTCGGGTCACCATGGAGTTACAAGAACTTTGAAGCGTATCCAGACACGGTTTTGGTGGCCCAGTATGCAGGCAGATGTCCGAGAATTTGTGTCTGGCTGTTTTGAATGCGCCCAAAATAAAGAACCTAAAGCCCACCCTCAAGGTCTACTTCATCATTTACCCATCCCAAGACGTCCATGGTCACATCTCTTTGGACTTTGTTACTGGACTTCCTAAATCACAAGGTAACACAGTCATCTTGGTGGTGGTAGACAGATTCTCAAAAGCATGTCATCTGATACCTCTGCCTAAGATCCCCACAGCTTGTCAGACGGCAGACCTCATGATGCAGCATGTCAGGATCCACGGGCTTCCTCAGGACATGGTCTCTGATCGGGGGTTGCAATTCACTTCTCGGTTTTGGAAGGCATTTGGCCGTCTGATTGGAGCATCCATCAGCCTGTCTTCTGGGTTCCACCCTCAGTCTAATGGTCAGACAGAACGGGTCAACCAGGAGATTGAGAAGACGTTTAGGTGCATGGTGTCCAATAATCAAAGCACCTGGAGCTACCGTCTGATCTGGGCTGAATTTGCTCATAACACCCTACAGCATTCATCCTTGGGCATGACTCCATTTGAATGTCAATTTGGGTTTCCCCCATCTTTGTTTCCTGAGCAGGAACTGGAGGGCCAGGTACCAGCTGCAACCCAATTAGTCAAGAGGTGCCGTCAGGCCTGGCGGAAAGCTCATACAGCCTTAGTGGGAGCATCACAACGGCAGCGGAAACAGGCCAACCAGCGCCGTAGAATTGGGCCATCACTACGTCAAGGACAGATGGTGTGGTTGTCAACTAAGGATCTTCCACTTCATCTAGAGTCTCGGAAACTGGCACCCCGATTCATTGGACCTTTTAAGATCCTTAGGAAGATCAATCCTGTGTCAGGAGCCGTTCCTGAGAAAGGGGCTCCTGTAAGACTCCTCCTGCCACTAGGGAGCGCTGTCTGCTCCCTCATGCAATGACTCTCCCAGCCATTGGTGGGCACCCCCTGCACTTTACTGTGTGAACTTTCTGAGCCACTAGGCGGCACCACCTGCTGTGAACTCTTTAGTTAAGACTGCTCATCAGGTTAATTTGTTCCACCTGTATTTTGTTCTATTTAAGTTTGGCAGTTTCATTGAGCTGTGTTCAGTCTTGAGCCTACCCAGTACAGATAACCTGAGTTCTAGAACAGTTAAGTGATGTTTTACTGTTGCCATTTGGCCTACATTATGTTTTGTTTTGTAAAGCTGTAACTGAACTAGCTTTCCCTGACTGGGAGACCTGGGTTCGAGACCCACCTCAGACACCTTATGTCAGTCCATTGTGACAGTGAATCACTAAAGAAGATATTTTGAGAAATGTCCCAGTGTTTTAGTCCATGTAGTGAAAGTCAATGGGGTCCAGTGTTGTTTGGTTTCAAATGTTCTTCAAAACATCAAAAGAAAGACATTCATGCAGGTT